ATTTAACGTACCACAACAAACACGCTAAATATATTAGTATAAATTTGGAGACTGCACGTGCGTAATTTAAATGATGCGGCAACTCAGGGATCGGATGATAGACTATTGACGGCTCTGAGCTAACTGTTGCTGTTCCTTGCACGATTATGTGCGTGAGGCACTTGCCTAATGCGTAGTCGTCAGGGAGACAAAGGTGTGACCCTTGGTAACGGGCGATTAGTTTTAATCGCCCGCTCTAGCGGGCGATTAGAACTAATCGCCCGCTACAGCGGGCGATACGTGATTAAACGTCCCTGTTGAAACAAAAGAAACCCGGGCAACTATGCTATTATTATAAGTAATAGCATGGCTTGAGGGAGATTAGTGATTAAATGGCCCCGTAACCCGAGGCAGGTTTGCGGAATTCCCGAGGGCGAAGCCCGAGGGAATTCCGCAAACCTACCGAGGGTAAGGGGTCATTTAATCACTAATCTCCCGAAAAGCCATGCTATTAGTTTGTAATAGCATAGTTTCGCTCCCATTTAAAAATGGACAAACATGCCCTACTTGGAATCAGCGTATTTAAGCTAAAACATTTGCTTCATTGTTTGTGGGATGTAAAAGCTTGTTGCACATGCGCACTTTTTACGCTTTAATCGGTTACGCATGCGCAATCTATCATTTAACGTACCACAACAAACACGCTAAATATATTAGTATAAATTTGGAGACTGCACGTGCGTAATTTAAATGATGCGGCAACTCAGGGATCGGATGATAGACTATTGACGACTCTGAGCTAACTGTTGCTGTTCCTTGCACGATTATGTGCGTGAGGCACTTGCCTAATGCGTAGTCGTCAGGGAGACAAAGGTGTGACCCTTGGTAACGGGCGATTAGTTCTAATCGCCCGCTCTAGCGGGCGATTAGAACTAATCGCCCGCTACAGCGGGCGATACGTGATTAAACGTCCCTGTTGAAACAAAAGAAACCCGGGCAACTATGCTATTATTATTCTTATCATTTTTATTTATATGCAAGTATAGCATTACCCTGTCATGTTTTAATTTCTTTCAGGGGATTGAGAGGTTGCAACGACGAGAAATGATACGCGAAGAGGTTAGAAATGCGTTGAAACCGTTTTATAGACATGGAGAATTATCAAAAGAAAATTATAAATATATTTATGGTCGTGCCGTGGAGAAGGTTGGTATGGAGGATATAGCAGCGATATCTTATTTGGGTTCATGGTTGTGTGTGAATTTGTCGTAATATTAAATTTTAAAGCCAGCATGCCCATTATACACAAAATTAACCTAACTTTCCTCTGGTCAAAAAAAGGTCAAACATCCGACTTTGTCCGACCAAATGCCAAATTGATCCTGCGAGCTCCATATATATCTGGAGCGAGGACTTGAATCCAAAACGTGGAGCCAAAGATGGAACTTTTTGGAAGTAGTATGCCAAAATTTCGTATTTTGACTTCGATTTAAAGAGTAACACTATGGTTTTATGGAGTGAGATCAGTTAGAAAAACTGGAAATTGCTGGGGAGAATGTAGCCTACGGTGTAGACAGAACTGTTTACAAACTGCATAGCTATATATTGGACATCAATTTCGCCATCTTGGTTTCACTTTTCTTACAGACCAAATGACTGAAGTCCTCACTCCAGATATATAAAGTTTCTGACCAAATTTCATTGTGGTCCAATATTTGAATGTTATTTCAGGTTCTATGGATTGGTCTATCGTGATCAGTTTTGTACAAACTGTTCTTACGTACACGCTCAATAAGTGCCATCGTTTGACTAGTGGTACAACAGGATGAAGCCTATATAAGCTCTCGGAAAATATATCTGCAGTTTTGTTATAGTCAGACTGAAAGCACTTTTTCACATCCGACTTCTACATCACCACAAACTGGAATGACCAAGTCCCCCCCAACACACACACACACACACCCTGGCAGTGAAGGTTCATTTTTTATCTAATATAATATTACATGTAAGCAAAACGGGAAGGATAACATATAGTTCAGTTTGTTTTGTCTATCTAGATAGGTTAAATGAGAAATACAAGGAATCAATCCTCAGTGGCTGAAAACCACGACAACACGTGCAGGGGCCAATCGTGTAAAAATGTAGTTAAAGTTAACTACAGTTAGTGTAAATTTAATCAATAAAAATCGCATATATTCGACTACAAAATAGTCTTTCCACTCACGAATTTCAAGAAAAGGCCCTGGTTAATACCTGGAATAATTTATTACTTTCTAGATCAGCAAATCATCTCTTCCTGTGGTGTCGCGTGATGTTGCCAGCTTAGTCGGAAATTACGTAAAGAAACTCAAAGGACGTCAAATACACCCTGCCAAAAGTGACGTTTGAATTGGCAACCATACATGTTATAAAAACTAGCTTTTGTAAGTACTCTTTTGGTAGAATGTTCCGATATTCATGCTTACGGAAAGTACAGTATGTCACTTTGACATACTGTACATTATAGAGCCTCGTTTTCGTGATTGAGACGCCACGCTTACTTTAATGTCACATACACGAACACGAGACTCTATAGCCAACGTGACGTGCTTCCCGGAATGGTGTGTTATCGATATTTTGTAAATGTCTGTTATTTGAATATTGTACGTACCATTGAAAATATTGATATACTGAAAATCGAAAATATTTTAAAGCTATTTTTGTCCTTGCCTCCAAGGCCAAGACTTCTTCAATTGACCACATCCATGCTCACCCTCACTTTCCTACTGACAACCTATACTCATCCTTAGGAAGGATGAGTATAGGTTATCAGTAGGAAAGTGAGGGTCGAAAAGGAGGTCGATCGCCCCCTATACTGTTCATAAAAGTTTACCAACTCTGAAAGTCAGTGAAATCATTGATGAACAATCGTATTTTTCTGTTCTCTTCAAATACGTAAATAAAAAAAAAAAAAATTCTCGTGATAGTTTCTTTGACCGAGAACGCCAAACTCTTTCACAAGATGGTCAGTAAATTTGTCTTCCAATCGTAAACATCAAGCCTGCGGTCGTAAATCACAAGCAGGTGTCTAGCATCAAATGCGACACTTTCAAAATGTGTTTGCATTTTAACAATAGGGCCATTTATACGAGAGAAAATAAGTCGCGACTTAATTAAGTCACGAAAACATTCGTATAAATGGTCAATTTCTGTTAAAACGCGACTTATTTTGGACCACCATAAACCCCTGTTCTTATTTTAGTCGCGACTTACATTGGTCACGAACAAATTGACCATTTATATGAGTGTGTTCGTGACTTAAATAAGACGCGTCTTAATTAAGTCGCGACTTATTTTCTCTCATATAAATGGCCCTAATGAATCTTTCCTATTTCGTGGTGGAGGAAGATTGTACTTTGGACCAACTTCAGCGAGTCCCTTCGCGTGAACATTAACGCTGCCGTCAGAAGGATGCTTCATCATGGAAGTGATCTAGAAGCTTGATTTCTCGCTTAAAACGTTTCACAATTTCATATATTTTGACCAATGTTCTTTTTGACAATTTGGGTTGCACTTTCCACAACGTTTTAAATCCTCATATTTTCCATAACACTAAGACGAAGAAAGTTGCTTCGTTATTGTACTCAACATTTGCAGATTTATTATCACCACTTGTTTTCGACAGCAGCGTATCAGTCCCAGAAAGACGTATTCAGTCCCAGTATTCCATTTTGCGCACTTCCAGACCAGCTCTTATTATACCTGCATATTGTTGACAACTGTGAACAATGTGGGCAGCAAAGCATTGTTCAATCCTGTTTTCATCAATATTGCAACAACCTGATCGTGTTTTTTTTTGCCGTGTACCAGGTCCCACACATGCAGAGTCCAGCGGCTTTGCACTGATCTAGTATAGTTACAACGTTCTGTATTGAACACGCCGGTAGACCCAACTGATGCTGAAACATCGTTGTTGAAAGTAAAATTGCTGTTAAGGATTTTGACCCAAGGCCCATCACAACCTCTGATTTGACCTTTATCAATAACAAAACATTTGTTAATTAAACAACGGCATCACTGTGTAACCTTTGAGTCTGAGAGCAACAGAAACACCAGCAGATGTTTTGGAGATGTGCGTTTAAAAAATGCGGAAGAAATCAAGCATTGTAGTGCCACAACATAACTGTGAGCTTTTTCCTCAGAATCAAGATTTTCTCAGACTAGTTGTTGAACTAAGCGATGAGTACTGACAGAATGCGCATGGACATGCAAGAAAGGTGAAAAATCAGTCAGCACTTTAACTTGACGACAACTGAGGGGTGAGCTCACAGAATCACGAAATATTTTGTTTTCAATGGACCTATTACCTAATAAACACATTTTGAAAGAGCATCATAAAATTCGTAATATTCCGAAGTTTCGTTGCGAAATGTTGTAAAATGCGGATAGTATAGCCCTGCGAAGTTTGCTGTTTTTCACTCATTTTGTATTACGCGCGGGAAATTGACTGCCTCATCCCCAGGCGCTATAAAATGATTTAACATACGAGTCACTATATAAAAGCTTTACATAAAGTAGTGCGTCACATAGGCGCGCAAAGGAGAATGGGATATGAGCGTTCCGGTTAGCGCCTGCCCGATCTTAGGCCGTTTGCTTCGTCCCGATATCGTTCACTTTCATTTCTCATGTCTTGGAACTGAAATATTTTAACGGGAAATACACTTTCGAACACGCTGAGTTCAAATCCAAAAAGTTCCCGCTCCGTAAACCCGCAGTTTTCTCACAAATTGCTATTTTATCTTCACTAATTTCACGACAAATTGTGGCTATGTCACTGACCTGATAAATAACTCTTTTAACGCGATCAAGGTATTCAAAACAAAAGTAACGCGAAGCCAAAGACAACACTAAATTAAAATATTGTCGATGGGTTGCTGGTAAAAGACGTACGACATGATCAATCTTAAATAACCTTAAACTAGACGAATAAATGTTCACATCAAAGACAAAGATCAGTGCCAAAGTATAAAATCTGCTCTGTAAACTTACGACGAAGTGGAGAAATATGTGCATGAGCTGTTTATTTGGTGATTTCAACGTATATGGAAGCCCTCTTTCCAATAATATTCGCTATCGCACAGAATAACACCAACTGATATAATAGTTCAAATGCAATGATAAGTTACCTCTTGAATTATGTCTCAGAAACTGTGTTGGAAATTTAAATGCTGACCCATTACATATAAGATTACCGTTTTACATCGTTGTATAAAACATTTTGGCTGCATGTAAGGAATTATTTTTCAGCCCAGAGACATAGTCCAAAGACTTGTCATTAACGTCCTTGTGATTTTATAGAATAGAGCCAGAACTGAGGATTTTAGAAAGCGTTATCTGTACGTTCTCAAAGTCGTAGACAAGACATGTTTACGTCCAATAGGCATAAAATTACATAACTCAAAATGATTTAACAAAACGGTCTTTAATTTTGTTAAAAGGTAGACTGGTTAATAGAAATTGGTCCTTTTGAGTGGCATAATCGTGAGCGGGAACTTTTTGGATTTGAACTCAGCGTGTTCGAAAGTGTTTAGTTTCCGTAAAAATATTTCAGTTCCAAGACATGGGAAATGAAAATCGTTTTCTAGGCACTTTTCGAGGTCACAGCAAGTGGCCTAATAACCTTCAAAACACTGACTAAGCACAATGAATCACTACAAACATAAATCGTATACACCACCCGGAAAGTTTACACTATGATGCCTGACTCGTATGAATTTTCCCCACTCATCACAATACTGTAAAGTTTCGAAGAAACTTTACACTAAAAAGTAGTTGGGGTTAACTGTAGTTAAAACGTAGTTAAAGTTAACGATGTTTTAGGGTATCGTTAACTTCTCAAAACGTAGTTAAAAATGGCACTTGTATTGTAGTGAACAACATTTTCCAGTAAAACAATAACGAAAAGCAATTATTACCCGGGATTTTCAATCACTATCTTCCCTGTGCATGTTTCCTGCAATATACTCTTCAAACGCTATATTGCTTTGGGTTTTTGGCGAAAACAAAATATATTTTTGCACTGGAAGATTTCTCGAAGACGACGTCGGGCCCATTGCACAAAGAAACATGTTTATAGACATCTCAAGTAAAAACGGCCTTCTTCGTTGATTTTTCCTTGTTTTCTTGTTTATTTTTTACTATTTTGAATAAAATTCCCACCTATTTGCAAAATGCGAGTCCACAATCATGTTAAAAATGCTTGTAAGCGGTCGTTATTCACTCTTTTACTTTATGTAATTTTCCTGTTTAACCACCCCGCGCAAGCCCCACGCACGTGAACTACGTGATTAGTTAATCATCCGACAAACTATGTTTTGTGCAACGCAATTAAGTCGTGTAGTTAACTAATCATAGTTAAGGATTTAACTACAGTGATTAACACTAATCATAGTTAAAAGTTAACGACGTTTTTATACAACCGGCCCCAGCAGTTTAGCAACTTGACGACAACCCAGAGGTGAGCTCACACAATCACGAAATGCTTTGTCTTCAATTGGACGTTCACCAACATTGACTAATTCTTGGATCTCGCTTGGATTCAGGAATGCATAGGCGTTCATGAGTCGCATGGTAGACATACCGTGCAAGCTTTCCTTGATGTGCTTGATATTTAACAACTATGTCGTGTGAACCGCCAAGTGTTCAGCTGATTCGTATAGACTGACAATGTTGTAAGGATAGTTCTTAAGGCAGGTGTAATAACTTTGTTTCTTACACCTACTTTAAGAAATACTTTTGCAATTGATCGCCAACCATGCACCTCCGTTCTTCATCTGTGATATACTGAAGTAGTACGTATGGCACTTGCCATCGGTCATCGAGAAATTCAGTATACATAAAAAGTGGTGTCAACCTGTATAGTCGTAAGGTCTGATTGTTGTTATTGACGATGTTCTCATATTTTAGAAGAAATGTTGAAGGGGTAGTTTCGTTTTATGTTTGGAAAAAACTTGCATGTCAGTTTCATCATGTGGTTGACACAACACAAATGTGTTTTCAAATTCTTCCAACTGAACTATACAGAACTGGTACAATAGTATAATTATGCCACTGGCACTGCAGTTTATAGTTGTAATCAGATATTTCACAGCACACTCCCTATCAGGGCTTTTCAGTGACTGGTTACATTGTGAATAGATAAGATAGATAGAACCGGGCTGAGAGTAAGAAATTTGTTCCGGCAAATGTCAACCACAGCCCATCTTCGTTCTTCGAATTCACCTGATATACTTGAAGTGGTTATCTAGAAATTATGCATGAAAAGTGGTGTCAATTAACCTTTGGCTGGATGTACCTGTAATAGCCCGCATATAATTCTTCGCGATTGCAGGTGGCTGCGCTACTTTTCAACGGAAACGATTATCTGTGGAGGTTATTGCACAGAGCCCAAGATATTCTTTAATTTAGTGTTGTTTGTTTTGATTTATTCAGAATCCTTTTAACCGAAGGAAATGCGACGCTAGTGGAAAATAAAGAAAGGAAAAACGCTGAAAAGAACAAATAATAAAACAATATTTTTTCGGCTTTTGAATACACCCTTGCGGAAAGTATTTAGCCGTGCTTATAGAGCCTCGTTTTCGTGATTTAGACATTGGTTTTAGAGCTCTTCATCCCTGTTACTGATGTTGTAAATAGTTTGAATCACTCGATTAAGGTTTAAAACTGAACTCTTCCTCTGCACTCTAAAACACCGTCCTTATTTAATTGTAAACTAAGTTTGATCTCTCGTAAAAGTTTCGTCAACTTGTTGTTGAGCTTTCGCGATCAAACGAATTTCAGCTTTCTCTAAATCACCAGTTGTAAGTGGGCCTTCGATTCTTCTTTCTTTCGCACACCGAACGTTTGCGAGGAACCGTAATAACCAGGCCGTAACCCTCAAGGCCTTCCAATAAGCAAACTGAGACAGCAAGTTCCCTAGCTCGTCGTCTTGTTCCTTGGCCAAGGCAAATAATTGCTTCGTTAGCTTCACTTCAACATCGGACTCTGTAATGCGAGTCGTCCTTTGATCTGGTGGCCATTCGTCCGGTTTACTTAGCCAGTCAGGACCCTTCCACCACAACTGATCTCCCTCTTTAACTAGAAAATACATGCATGCAGAAACCCTCGCCTTGCTGACAAAACCAATGTATTTTCCGAACATGAAGTATCTGAAGTAGTTGTCATGGAAACACGATATTATTTTAAGAATATTCTTGCAAATGAAAAATCGTTTAAAAATATCACTTTTAATTACAAAATTATCAATTTCCCAACATATATATGTTAGATATGATATTATATACAAATAATGAATGTTTATACAAATAATGAGTACAATGGTAAGAATATTTTCATGAGGTGAAAGATGGAATGTTCCATTCAACGAGGCGATAGCCGAGTTGAATGGAATATTCCATCTTTCACCGAATGAAAATATTCTTACCATTGCACGAATAAAACATTCATTATTTGTTTTATATAATACCAAAGTAGACTAATATTAAAAGGTTTACTAGCTGTAAGTTCCCGCCATTTTGACGAGTCGTACTGCATTAAATCCCATTTACTGAGTTTCGAATATCGGGTTAAAATAAACGCGATTACCGTACGAAAAGCATTTTGACGGATGCGATTTATCGAAAACACAAAGAGTGCAATGGAATAAAACGTATAGTACAATTGCACTCGCAAAGAGTGCAATGGAACGTATTCCATTGCACTCTTGGGAAATGGAATTTTCTATTCAATATCACGTGGCTATAAACAGCCAATTAAACGATCAGAATTCAATAAAGTATTATATAATACGTAATATATTAAGCTTCAATTTAAGGTAAAATTCAACTACAAACGCTTCGCAAAACGTTTTAAAGTGTTCTTTATAAAACTAAACTGCCTTTAATTAAATGGCTTTATTGATAAACTTTGAGTTTGCAATAAAATGATTTCAAATTCTCGCATGCAAATAACTTTGCTTTCTTTTTTATTTATTTAAAAAATTCAATATAATAAAAAAGGGAATCAATATTATAAAAGATACACTGAAATTATATGCTGTCTTGTTTAGTTGTTTCATATACGCAAAGGCGGTCGGGTTTTAAAGCAATTATTTAATAAAATCAATATTTAAAACAAACTTACCTTCGTTAGCGTCGGCTCCCCTCTTTTAGCCGATTCTTTCTCTCTTGAAATTTACAAAATCTTGCGAAAATGCGAGCGAAATGAAATATATTTGCAAAAAATTATCAATCATCAAATGAAGAAATGTTTGCTATTTCCCCGTCGTCATGCAGTCGCTATTCATGACAGTCCGCCATATTTTTGAGATTAGTGAGGATGACCACCCACGCACAGTGAGCCATGCCCGCGATCATTGGTGAACTTTAGACTTCGCTAAAGCTTTCGTTTCCCCGGGTGTAAATAGCCGGGGGGGAATTAGTACCCTCGCCGTCGGCTCGGGGATTAACCCACCACGGCTCGCGACATCAGCGGGATTTTCTTTGCTAGGTACGTGTCTCCATGTTACTCCTTCATGCCCACAAATTTTGTTGACACGGTTAGCTACGAAAATTTTGTACTCTCCTTCACCACGGATCCAGTGTAGTGCGACACTGCTATCTAACCAACCAACAAGGGATGTTACTGGAAACCCTTACAAGGCACTGTGCACGTTCATGTCAAGTAAATTCACCGCCATATGCGCCGAGACCAATTCTTTCCTGGGGATTGTAAGCACCTGTTTCGCGAGTCTTGATTTCGCACAAACGAGCGAGACTTTGATTTACTTGAGATTCTTGAGTGATCACAGCATACACCGCTGACCTACCCCATGACCACTCGCATCACCAAAGGTGTGAAGTGTTATGTCCTGAATGGGTTCTTGAGCAAGTGGTATAGATCTTGGAGCCTTGACTTGAAGAGGGAGGTGGTTTTCCCACTTTCCCCAACGTTTAGTCAGTTCTGAGTCCCACTTACACTTTTGCTCGCAAGCTTCTCTGTACAGAAGTATAGGTTAATTATTTTGAGGCAACGAGGGGATATGTGATTTATTCACCGAGGCGCGCAGCGCCGAGGTGAATAAACACATATCCCCGAGGCGCCTCAAAATAACGTACTTATTTTTCACATTACGAGGTCGCGTTGATGAATCAGAATATAAATAATTCTTAATGCCATATTGCCTTCGTGATGTTGTTTTTTCTCATTTTTTGTGCTGCAAAGACATTGCAGGTGAATATTAGAGGGGACTATTAAACGGAAATTGATTAGAGGGGAATATTGAATATATTCCCCGATAAGAACAAAGGAAACCGAGCAGGGTGAATAATAAGCTTACCTTGTAGGACTGTGGGAGCTATGAGGCCAAGTGTGATCATAGATTCGGGCTACTTTATCAAGAATACCTCTTTTGGTGGGAGCTACTTCGTCAGAGGGAATAGTAACCTCAATTGTGTCTGCTTCTTTATCCCATTTCAAACCAAGGAGGTTGCCTGCTTTCGATTCGTTGCCCAATTGTTGTTTTGCAAAACTTGTGTCATCACTACTGTCCGATTGTTGGTTTTGTTCTAACTCTTTGACATTTGATTGCCACTTGTGTAAATGGAATGATGCTTCTTTAAATATTTCGATTGAGGCTTCCTTTTTCTCACGCACTTCTTGCACTGAAATCCCTCCGGTTACCAAGTCATCGACATACAATTCTTTCTCTATTTCTTCAGCATGCTTAGGGTACTTCTCTTTACTCGCATTTAAATGACATTGTAATACTCCTGCCAACAGGAATGGTGATGGTCCCATGCCGAACAGTGCTCGAGTGAATCTCAAAGTGCAAATACGCTGGGGATCTTTATCTTCCAACCAGTGAAATCTCATTGCATAGAACACAGTTCCAGTTGGTTGCTCATTTGCAGGTTCAACAACTCCTTCTGCCAGTTGATCTTGAATAATTGAATTGTATTCGTCGAATTTATCCGTATTCTTCAATCGCTGCACCAAGGTCCCAAACGTTTCAAACTGTTCTCCTCATTTGAGGGCAAAGGCGGATGGCCTCATTTCCAAGGGAGCACAGTCTCATACCACCCATGTACAGGATCACGCCGAAGCTGTTCCAAAAACTCTTCATGTACAACTTTCTGGTCTCCAGATGGTGTGTCTTGAATACCCAGAACATCCATGCGACAAAGTTCCTCATAATCAGATTGTGCAGTTTGAGCAAGAAATATATTGTCTAAATTGGGCTGAACTCCTGGCGACATAATTGACCAGCCAAACTGAGTGAACTCCGCCACAGGGTTCCCACTTCACCGGTTCTTTGTGGTTCACTAGTCTTGATCTTTGAATATTCTGCTGCCCCCAATATCAGGTGCATTGGAAGGACTGATTTGGTATCCGTTTCCACCATACTCACGCCTTGTAGGTGTTGGTACCGACTAATCAACTCTGGGTAATTTGGATTCACAACTGACAAGAGATCGCTGCGGTCAACCTTTGTTACATTCACTGGGATAACAAAGTTTCCTTCTGTGTTGCTAACTTCAAGATTGTAGATTTCAACATGCTTTGTTCTTGTTCCTGTGATGGTTTGAATACAACGTGTCAAGGTATTAGATGGATTGATCTTCATTAGGCGTAGAAGATATGCAGACGCATACGATGTCATAGCTCCAGTGTCCAATAGTGCTCTACAGGTAATGCCATTTGCTTTGACAATAACAATGGGGTGACAAACCTTTTGCTCTTCGTGTGTTGCTGTCATAGCTGCTTGTCCTGGAATTTGGTTGGGTGGAGGTTTCTCTAAAGTGTCACAAATTGACGAATGATGATATGTTTTTTCTTGCAGTGAAAACAGGTAACTCGACTTCGTCAAACGAGACTGTGCTGCATGGTGTCTGCCACACGTACAATTAAAACATATCTTCCTTGCTGGTAACTTTCGTTTACGCTCAGTTGGTATAGCAACTTTCTTACATTCATACGCTGTTCATCATCACAGTAAACGCAACCCTTTGGTGTTGAGGAATCCTTTGGTGTTGAGGAAGAACGAGTGGTTGCGGTTGTATGGGGGGCCTAGGGTTATGTTCGGTTGAACTTTCCACCGCCGCGTGTATTGCTTTCCAATTTTCCAGAGCTTTTAATAAATCAGCAAATCCCTAATCTTGCCATCCAACCTGATTTGTGACCAACTCTGCCTTAATACCAGTTAATTTCTCTATAACACCCCGTACAATGGACAAACTCTGGGATAGTTTACCCAATGTCTCTAACGATTGTAACTCAGGTTCTTAATAAATTCATGTATCTTGTTTACTTTCCTGCCAGTCATTGTAGGCAGCTCTTGTGGAGGTGCCACGTGTACGTTGTAAATAGTTTGAATCACTCAATAAAAGGTTTAAAACTTCTAATAATTCTCACTTAAGGTTACAGGACACCCTTTTTGGCGTTTTGTTGAAAATCCCTACTGCTCAAAATCAGTCCGATTTTCATAAAATTTTCACCAAATGTTTGCCAGTGCGTGGAAAATATGGTAAAGTTGTAAAATTGACAAACAATAAAATAATGTAAGAATTATTCAGGAAAATCTTAAAATCAGGAAATTATTCGGGAAAATCTACCTTTACGCTTTTGAGTTGTGTTCCTGCTGGTTTTAAGATATATTTATGAAAATATCATTTTTATACAGTAGCAAGCTGTTGAGAGTGGACTGCAAAAGGATATGTGGAGGCGGGGGGGGGAGGAGGAGGGCAATTCAAAACAGATTTCTTGTGATAACCCATACGTATTTTTGTCAGTTAATGTTGGTAGGCGCTGTAGTTCCCACACCCGGTTGCTACGACTTCCCCATTCCATGCAAGCTTTAGGGAGGGTGCACAGAGAAATTGGAAATATCCGCACAATTAACTATAAACTACGCAATGGTTTATTTTCCAAATTTGAACTGTATCAAACATCAGTTGAAAAACAAGGTGGTTGTTGGGGGGAGGGGGGGGGCGGTGGGTTAGGGAGAAAACATTTTCGGACATACCATTTTTCACGAACTTACCGAAATTTGTGACAGGTTAGACCAACCCCAACCGTCCCTCGCTACGGCCCGGAGCGAAAAACAACATGAAAATTAATGCCTATTGCATCTCATTAAAGAAATAAACTACAGCTAATTCAAAAAAGGTTGTGCATTGCAAACATTGAACTCTAGACCTTAAACCTTAAACTCTAAGCGTGCAAAGCATAATGGGACCATCATTTAATCAGTCACAATCGAGTACGTCATCTTCCAAGTATATTGTGGATTCACTCGTGTTTCATTGGTGTTCACTCCTGTTCACTCGTACGTGTTCCATTCGTGTTCACTCGTGTTCCATTCGTGTTCACTCGTGTTCATTCGTGTTCACTCGTGTTCACTTGTGTTCACTCGTGTTCTGACTCGTGTGGAGTTTTAGATCAGATCTACCACGAACAAAATAAAATTGATTCTTGCGGGAATTTTGATATTGGGCATGGCAAGGCATGGCATGGCATGGCATGGCAGTGCAGTGCAGTAACAATTTCTTGAGGGTGGACTGCACAAGGACGTGGGGGCGAGGAGGGGGGGGGGGGAGACGATTCAAAACGGGTTTTTGTCAATCAATGTTGGTAGGCGTTGTTGTTCCCACACTCGGTTGCTACGACCTCTCCATTCGTGCAGGCTTTCAGGACGTTGCAGCGCCTTTAGGGTGCGCAGAGAAATTGGAAATATCACAACTAACTATGCAATGGTTTATTTTTCAAATTTGAACTGTTTCAAACATATATTCCTCCCCCAAAACAAAAAAGTTAACAACACGTGTTAATATAGCAAGTGTCGTGGCACTCCCGTTGGTGGAAGTTCTAAGATATGAAGCGAGCGAAATAGTATAACTGCAGTTCTTGTTTTCAAAAGGCTAGACAGAAAACATGCACTTCGTTGTCAAGAGTAAATTAAATAAAAAAACAAGAAAATGAATGCTTATTGAATCTCTACAATTAAAATATACCATTTTTATCCGTTCAACAACAATCTCGTGCCCATACCTTGCGGTTCTTATGTTCGACGAGTGCTTTTGGTAGTTTAGTACGTCATCTTGCAAGTATATATTGTTGATATGATCTTATCATATTTCACTCATGTTCCATTTGTGTTCACAGTCGTGTTCCATTCGTGTTCACTCGTGTGGAGGTTTAGATCAGATCGTTGGGTACATAGTTCATAGAGTATTAATTAAAGTTATCACAGAATGTATTTGTTCTGTATTTTTATAATTCACTTAAGGTGGCTCCCTACAGTTATTCTTGTTTAAGCAATAATTCCGTAAAACAGGCTTATTCGTGCAGAACGCGAATTCTTTTCGACTTGGTGGTAATATTGGTCACCTAAGGAATATTTCGAACTAGATTTCGACGATGTCAATGTTCCCATGGCAACATGACGACAGCATAAAGCCTTCCAATTTAACTCATAAATGTGCCGCTATCTCAAAAACGATGTCGGTGACCTATCTTTTTTATTTCATATATCAATAAGGAATGATGCTCTGCAACTGTGGTGAAAGCTTAAAAAAATTCTGTAGTGTGTGATTTTTTTAAAAGCGAAAAATTTATTGCGAAATTTCCACACTACAGATTTTTTTAAAATTTGAAATTTATAAAATTTACCGCAAAATAAATTCGTAGTCAAAATTTGAAGATAGGTCACCGATGAAACTAATGAGTAAAATGCAAATAAAGTTAGAAAATAGCCTCGTGTAACTCGAGAAATTCCCCTATTGAAAAGCGTCGCTGACTAGTAAAAGATTGTACGCGGGCGCAGAACGAGTTTTCATTCAGCAAAATCGAGCCGCAATGTTGTTTTTACTGTTTTGTTTTTGTCAACTTTTCGATTTATTTGAGTGCTATGGACAGCCAAGGATTATTGTGAAGGATTAAATCGATGAAAACAAGGTTGAAGCTAATTGAATCCTGCCGTTTACTCAATCTATGAGCTGTAACAGCCTATTAACAGGTGGACGTGTTTTTGTTTCATGTTTGGTTTTGTACTTTTTGCTAAAAATGAACAATTAGGCTATGAAACTGAAATATTTTTCTGTTTACATATAATCACTTTAATCTTGTAGAAACACGACTAAAAACGTGAACGTTTTCTTGAGAAGTAAACAACCTTTTAAACGTTTTCTATGCAATTTTGCAAATGTTTTACAGTTGAGTCAGTTGACAATATTGTTTCGTAGCTATTTTTTGGTCTAGTGATATTCGTATCATATGTAGAATTGCTGTATAGACTCGCAAGTGATTTGGCACTCAAAACGAAGTATTATTCAACGCTTTTTTCCATTAGAAACCTTTCAGAAATAGCTTTATTTTTAAAAAAAGCATGGTCAATTTTTGTTTTGTTTTGATGATGCAGTTGCGTGGGATAGTTCCCGTACTTGTCCCGCGAACATCCCGCACGGAACTGTAGGGAGCCTCCTTAAAAATTCGATAAAATTGATCTATTTTCGGTATTTTGGTGTCATATAAAACAAATAATGAATGTTTTCATTCGTGCAATAGTAAAAATATTTTTATTCGGTGACTGAAGATGAAATTTTCCATTCCACTCGGCTGTCGCCTCATTTCCACCATTGCACTCATAAACATTCATTATTTTTATACTATATGATATGCACAGTATATAGTTATTAAATTCAACAGCTATAGCACCTCATCTGAAGTACAAAAATTACGTTTTTAAGAAGCAGAATATCTGTCAAACTGGAGCAGTGAGCTCGTATATAATATATCTGGAGTATAAGAACACTCGTGAAAAAAGTGAAGCGAGAAATAGCTGAAATTGGCACTGTATTCCAGTTCCTTATAGTTAGAACTTATCTGCGATTTTAACACAAAGCTGCAAGGAGTGCGAATTATGTTTCTTGTTTTAAAGAATGGTTTTATAAACTAAAAATAAATTAGGTTTCGTAATTAGCGATACAATCCAACATTTTTTAGTCTTTTTGGCAAACAGTGGGAAATGACTAGCCTGCATGCTTTGCGCGCACTGTTTGCCTGCGAATTGGGCCTTTCAGAACCGGAAATCAGGCTGGAGCACGCGTTCGTTCTTTTGATTTAGCAATAAAAGAAGCACGTCAAATGGCAAAATTCGTGCGCTGCTCGTTTGCAAAAACAACTGCATGCAAAATGCTCTAATTCATTCTGTTACTTTCATTTTATCTCATCCGTAAGTCGTATTAACAAGTAGTTTTCAGACTTAAATCATGAGAAATACGTCATCTGTCCCATCTGGATCTCTTGACCATAACACTGGTTCGATTCAAACACAATCAATTGGGACTGGATCTTTTTAAATTTTCCTTTATTTCAATTCAATACAACACTCTTACAATCAAGCTTACAATCTCTGCACAATCTGAAACCCGATTCCTCATCTACACAAACAACGTGCTTATTTTAAAATTACTAATATGAAGTAATAACGTCATAATTTTCATAATGGTTCAATGTTTGTTCTTGTCAAAGATTCATTGTTTTTATTAACTGGTTTTACAAAAACGCAACTAAATATAGATTAAATATGACACTATTAGAATATTCATGAAAATAAATTCCAAACAATCAAATTCTTCCTTAATGTTTCCAAAACTTATAAAAGTCAATGTAATTAAACTTAGGGGGTCGCATGCAAACATGTCACTGCATAAACGGTATCCCAAAAAGAGCTTCCAAAGCATCGATGAACTGCTTCAACTGTTCCCAATCTTCAGATCGGAATGTGTATAGCTTGCCTTTGGTGTTCAACATACATGTAAGAAAATCAATGTAAGACTTGCTGGCATGGTGCTTGCGGACTGCATCAACGTGTCTGCCAGGAAGAATGTTGCTCAATTCTTAAAGGTAAAATTGATATTAATATAAATTAGAAACGTACATTACTCAATTTAATAAACTAAATGTTTTATCATTATGCACGGTGTATCTACTTGAAGGGTGGTTGTTTAATTAAATTGGGGGAGGAGGGGGTGATAGCCTGTCAATGTTTAGAAACCGCAGTTTTGTGGACGTTATTTTTTTAATTAAGTACTCGATAATTTATCGGGCAAAATATGTTGA